CAAAATGTAACAATATATAAAGGTATCCGCGGGTAACCCTAAAATCAGAGGGTTAATTTCGGGTTACCCTAACAGTTTAAGTTTTATTCGAGTTTTTCATAGTAGGAATTTTTATGGGCGGATTTTAGGGTTCGGGGAGGGTAGGATTCTTTTACCCATGGCGGTCCATTTATAATTGAATAAAAATGCTAGTTCATGGTTCAGCCCAACCGACCCGGATAAATAATTACCCTCTTTTTTAGGGACATTTCAATTCTACCACAAGTTTAGTACCACTTTTCAAATTTACCATTAATGAATGACTATTTTCACAAATATCTTAAATTTGTGATAAAAAACACTAAGCGAATTTTATAAATATTTATAGAACATTTATAAATCCAACCCCTATCCCTTAATACTAAACCCTAAAATAATCACCAAAACCTAAACTCAAATGTTAGTATATTTTTTTTATTGGTGATATTTTTGAAAAATAGTACTTAACTTGTGGTCCTTTTTTCTTTTCCAAAGTGAGCTTATAAATAGCCAAAACAGAATTTGAATATTGTTCCATTTCATTGAAAAAATTGAACTTAGTTAACCATAGACCTCAAAGAGACTGTTCTGTTCTAGAAGAACGCCGTTTACCAGCTTTATAACCACGGAAAATTTGAAAAATTAATTGATGTTGTTTTTCTTCTGTGACAAATTCGTTTAAATTTTTAAATTCATGATTAGATTTTGACATGCGCTTCAAAAGCGAGTTTTTTGGATTATAAATAAATTTTGAAGTTAATAAAAAATGGATATAAATTAGTATTTTAAGATTATATATTATTATGTTATAAAGTGAAGCAGATAATTTGTTTAGAAATATATAATTTATGAAGTAGCTTCTTTGAGATTTCGTATATACGTATTTATATGTAACTCTTTTTAGGTCTGAGAATTTATCCGGATCCAAGAAAATCAACCAAAACCAACCCACAAATATAGATTTGGTTTGGGTTTCGATCCCGTGCAAAGTATCTGTCGACTGCTTTTGACCCGTGGGTCTTGGTTCGGGTCTGAATCCTATCCGCAACTCGTTTAGGATATTCAAAATACCTGAAATGTTTCTGTGTATTAGGTATATTTGGGTATTTCATATACAATTTTGGTATTATAGGCATTCTTTTAAATTTCAG